CGGGCGCCGCGGCCGCGGCTGCTTCCACCGCCGCCGCCCGCCCCCCCAAGTACAACTCTTGATCAACAACCTCCTTGGGACCAGCAATTAGTGTAATGGCTATGTTGCTGGACTCCCATGTAGTCAACGGTGGTTTGAGTCCTGGACCCGGTGGCTTAAACTCACGCCAGGCACATGTGCATGTGTGCCCAAGATCCCAAGTGGAGAATGGAGGAGAAGGGATTGTGGCAAGGAGAAGGGATTGCGGTGTGGCCATCCCCCCTTGGAGGGGGGTGATTTCTCACTTTCTTCTGTCTCTCTGGCAAGCGCACGCACCCTATAGCAAAAACCTCTCCCAAAAACACAACCTCCTTGGCTCAGTTTCCTTTCCTCTATTCGCTGGTGACATGTTTGATAATAACTTAGGCTGTCTACCATCTCTCTGACATAGACTATCACCAGAAAATCGGGAGAGTACCAAAATGTACCAAATACTGGAATGACATGCCCCTCTCCTAGCTTCAGGGGAAGGCAGGGAAAATGAACTAATGGGATTTGAAAAGGGACAGTAGAAACACAGCTACGCGGGGGAGGGGGAAGAGCATGACAACAGTGGCAGAATCTCCAATAGCTAGAATTACACTATAGGGTCCTCAACTCTAGCTGTACATAAGAATTTTTTTCCCCCTGTAGGGCACTTTTGCTTGTCAAAAACAGACAAATAGAGAGGGAAAGTGAGAAATCACCCCCCGCAGGATGGCCAGGCTACAGTCCCTTCTCCTCCATTCTCGGATTTGGGGCATATATCCACACACACCTGACGTTTCTCAAGCCACCAGGTCTTGGACTACTCAGTGGGCCATGCAACATCCAGCACCTTAACCACCACACCACCTTCTAGCCCTGCACGTTACATTTTTAACCTGGGGAGGTTCGAAAAAACAAAAAGCTGATGATTTCTGCTTCTGGTCACGAAGCAGAAGTCACTTCTAAAATGCCAGACATTGGACAACCAGCAGTGCAGGAAAGTGATCCCTGAGGGCAGAGAATCAAAGGAGGTGAGCCCAGTGATCCCCCAGCTTACCTCCTGGAGAGCACCTTTATGCTACCGCACGGGAGAGGAGAACCTACCAGAAACCAGCATTCTCCCTGAGCTGACGAGACCAAGTTCAGAGTAGAGGGATGCCAAGTGAGAGAGTTCAGGGGCACAGTATCCGTGAGAGAGAGGGGAGCAACAACGAGAGCTCCAGACATTTGCAGGACGTGCTTCAAGGTATCAGCTGAGTACCGATGAGTGCATGCTCATGAAACTACCTGACCAGGGAGCAGGAAAGAGCCCTTGAAAAGGGTTAGTCAGAACAGCACTTGGGGCTCACGCAGGGCCAACAACAACTGACATTCCCACTTTTTTTTTTTTTTTGGAGAGGTTTTTGCTATAGGGCGCATGCGCTCGCCAGACAGACAGAAAGCGAGAAATCACCCCCTGGGGGGATGGCCACGCCTCAATCCCTTCTCCTCCATTCTCCTCTTAGGATCTTGGGCACGCACGCACACATGCCCGGCATGAGTTTAAGCCACCGGGTCCAGAACTCGAACTGTGGTCAACTACATGGGAGTCCAGCAACATAGCCATTACACCAACTGCTGGTCCCAGAAAGACCTAATATGTGGGTACCCTGGAAAGCTACCGCCTCGATAGTAAAACCCAAACTGAAAGCTGTTCTGGATCCGCCCAGCAAAGCTTAAGTAAAGGGTCATTTTTTTTCTTAGTAACTCAATGTGCCAGAACAAGCTCAAAAAGTAGTACAGATAGTTCTCAGTATAAAATCTAAAATGCCTGCTATTGGCACCAGCAGGTGGCATGGTGGTTAAGGTGCTAGACACTCCCACATGGTCAACTATGGTTTGAGTCCCAGACCTGGTGGCTTGCTTTCTCACTTTCCTTCTCTCTGTGTGTGTGTATGTGTCTTTCTCTGGTCAAATTAAAATAAATGAATGGATAAATTAAATAGTTCTTTTTTAAAAAAAGAGAGTTATTTAAAAAAATTTAAAAATGTCTGCTAGTCAATCAAAAAGTATTAGGCAGGACTTCCCGTCTAGCATGTACAAAGCTTAGAAATTACCACTCCATCCTAAAAACAAGTTCAAGGCAGGCCAGCAGGTGACATGGAGGTTAAGGCAGCTGGATCCCACATGGCTGACTACAGTTCAAGTTCCTAACCCTGCAACTTAATCACGCTGGGCATGTGTGTGTGCATACCTAAAATCCTGAGAGGTGAATGGAGAAGGGATTGTAGCATGGCCATCCACTGCAGGTGATTTCGCACTTACTCTCTCTATCTCTGTCTTTCTCTGTCTCCCAACACACACGCCCTTATAGCACACTGAAAAACAATAACAACAAATAAAAGGCTAAATAAACTGAAAAATAAACAGCTCTTTTAGATATCCCTGAGAAATTAGATCACTGGATAGGCTGTTGCCTCAATACTGGCCAGCTGGATAGGCAAATACAGAGATTTATAACTTTAATATAAACTATGGCGCCAGCAGGTGGCGTGGTGGTTAAGGGCACTGGACTCCTATATGGCCAACCGCAGTTTGAGTCCCAGACCTGACAGCTTCCTTTCTCATTTTTCCTCTCTCTTTCTGTCTCTCTTCTGGTTAAATTAAAATAAATAAACAAAGTTAAATAAAATAGTTTAAGAAATAAAAATATAAACCATAATCAAATGAATTGCTCCATGTGAACAACTCTTGAGTTAAAACTCCAGGTGTGGGGAGTGGGCAGCCCCATAGCCTAATGGTTTAGGGAACTGGATCCCACGTAGCTAACCATGCAGTTCTAGTCTTGACTTGAAAAACATGCTAGACAGATGTGTGTGCATGCTCAAAAATCTCAGCAAGCTGGAGAATTGGAGAAGGGATTGTGGCATGGCCATGCCCCTTTAGAGGGTGCTTTCTCCTCCCTCTCTGGCAGGTGCACGTGCCCTCTGGCAAATTAAAAAAGAAAGAAACCTCAAGGGAGACCCAGTCATGGGGGCACCTTACCCTTCTGTGAGTTTTATTTCCAGGAGCTCCACCAGGTCCTTGCAGAAAAAAATTTACCCATTATGGCACAGAGTTCAGGGAAATGCTAAAAAGCAAAGAACAGCCAGAAGAGACAGAGCAAACATTAGAAACAGACTCAGGTGTGGCGAGAATGGTAGAATTATCAGGAAAGGAAATTTTTTTTAAATTATGATTAATATGCTAAGGACTTTTAAAAAGTGAAAAATAATAATAGGAGACGAAAAGACAAGCCACATTCTAGCAGAAAATATTTGCAAAGACATGCGGTAAAGGGCTGTTATCCAAAATATTCAAAGAACTTTTAAAACCCAACAGCAAGGCCCTGCTGTTACAGCGCAGCAGTATGCAAGTGCCCTGCAGGCGGAAGCCACGTACTGACCGTGAGTTTGGATCCCATTCGGCCTGAAGACACATACGGCATTCGGGATCCTGAGGCGCTGGAAAGTTGGGGGGATCACGAGGTGATGGGACCCTGTCAAAGGTGCTTCTCTTGCTCACGCTCTAACATATACACAAATGTGCTATCAAAGCAAAAAAACAAAAACAAATTCAACAATAAGAAAACAACCCAATCAAAAACAGACCGAATACCTTGACAGACACCTCTCAGAGAAGATATACTGGGTTAGAAATGTACCAGAGCAAAGCTCAAAAATATTCAGAAGAGTATGAGTGAGCATATGAAAAGATGTTCTGCAGTGGATGTCATCAGGGGACTACAATTAAAACAGCAATGAGACAACACTACGTACCCCTTAGAATGGCCAGATTCCAGAACTCCGACAATACCAGCTGTGAGGAGGGATGTGGGGCAACAGGATCCAAAATGGTATGGTCACTTCGGAAGACAGTGTGGCAGCTTCTTACAAAAACAAACATAATCTTACCATACTATCCAGCAATCACACTCCTGGTATTTATGCAAAGGAGTTGAAAACTTAGATTCAGGGACCAGCAGTTAGCTATGTCGCTGGACTCCCACGTAGTTGACCGCAGTTCGAGTCCCGGACCCGGTGGCTTAAACTCACGCCGGGCTCGTGTGTGTGCGTGCCCAAGATCCCAAGAGGAGAAGAAGAGAAGGGATTGCGGCGGGGCCATCCCCCCTGGGGGTGATTTCTTGCTTTCTGTCTCTCTGTCTCTGTCTTTCTGGCCAGCACACGTGCCCTATAGCAAAAACCTCTCCAAAAAAAGAAAACTTAGATCCACATGAAGCCCTGCAATTGGCATTTATAGAACCTTTATTTATGTTGCTAAAATTTGGAAGCAACCAATATGTCCTTCAGCACGTAAATGGGCAAACTGTGATACATCCAGACAATGGAATGTTATTCATCACTAAAAGTGAATGAGCTATTGGGTCAGCAGGTGGCATGGAGGTTAAGGTTCTGGATCCCACATGGCCAACCACACAGTTCAAGTCCTAGATCCAGAAAATCATGCCAGGTGCATGTGCATGCATGTCCAAAATCCTGAGAGGAGAATGGAGAAGAGACTGCAGTGTGGCCATCCCCTCTGGGGGGTGATTTCTCTGTCTCTCTCTCCCAGCCCTCCCCACCCCGGGAGCACATGCACCCTACAGCAAAACTAACTAATTAACTAAATAAATAAGCAGATGAGTTATTACGCCATGAAAAGACATGAAAGAAATTTAAATGCCAACTACTAAGTGAAATAAACCACTTTGAAAAGACTCCCTGCAATATAACATTCTGAAAAAGATGAATGAGTGAGTGCCCTTAGTTAAGGGGGCGGAACGACCAGGCAGAGCATAGTGGGTGTTTAGGGCAGTGAAACTAATCCAGTCGATACCCAGTGGCTGATTTGTGTTGCTGTATGTCCAAACCCATAGACTGTACGACACCGAGGACGAGCTCTGGTACCGACTGTGGACTTTGGCTCTAACGTGGTGTCAACGTCGGCTCATCGACTGTGACGAGAAGACCACCCTGGTGCGGGGTGCTGATGGAGGGGAAGGCTGTGCATCTGTGGGGCCAGGGGTTACGTGAGAACTGTAATTCCCACTCCATTTTACCATGAACTTAAAGTACTATGAAAAAAGTCATTTATTTATTTTTTTTTTGGGGGGGGAGAGGTTTTCGTTATAGGGCGTGTGTGCTCGCCAGACAGACAGAGAGAGACATAGAGACAGAAAGTGAGAAATCACCCCCCAGGGGAGATGGTCACGCCGCAATCCCTTCTCCTCCATTCTCCTCTCGGGATCTTGGGCATGCACGCACACGCGCCCGGCGTGAGTTTTAAGCCACCGGGTCCGGGACGCAAACCGCGGTCGACTACGTGGGAGTCCAGTGACATAGCCATTACGCTAACTGCTGGTTCCCAGTCGTTTATTTTTTAAAAAAGGATTAGGTATGTAAAATCCAACCCAGGAGGAAGAGAATCAGACCCTAGAAATAGCATCAGTGGTGTGGTGGGAAATCAGGTGTTACAACAGTGTTCTAAACACAACCTGAATATTCGCAGGTAGCGGACAGCATGAGCGTGGCGAAGACAGAGATGCAAGACGCACCCGCACACTCACAGTGACGCATCGCAGAGTGACACTTTGGTCAGCCAAAGACTGCATATATGACGGTGGTCTCACGAGACCCTGGCGGGCTGTACTGTACAGCACGCGTGTGGTGCGCTATACCATCGGGGTCTGTGTAAGTACACCCATGATGTTCACACTACAGTGAAATCGCCTGAGAACACATTTCTCAGAGCATATCCCTGTCGAGCAACCCATGACTGCATGTACCCAGACGCGTGCTGAGAGAGCAAAACTACAGTCACTGGGGCCGGCAGGTGGCGAGGTGGTTAAGGCGCTGGACTCCCACGTAACTGACAATGGTTTGAGTCACCTGGCCACTTGTTTTCTCACTTTCCCTCTCTTTCTGTCTCTCTGCCTAAATTAAAATAATAACAAAAGACTAATAATAATAATAAAGTTAAATAGGGGACCAGCAGTTAGCGTAATGGCTGTGTCGCTGGGCTCCCATGTAGTCGACCACGGTTCGCATCCCGGACCCGGTGGCTTAAAACTCACTCCGGGCGCGTGTGCGTGCATGCCCAAGATCCCTAGAGGAGAACGGAGGAGAAGGGATTGCGGCGTGGCCACCCCTCCTTCGGGGTGATTTCTCACTTTCCCTCTTACTGTCTCTGTCTCTGTCTCTCTCTCCCAATGACTGCATGTGTCCTAAGGCAACACCTCTAAAACGAAAAAAAAAAAAAAAAAAAAAACTATAATCACTGATACGAAATATACACAAATTAGCAGAGATGATTAGGAACATTGAAGATGGGGCTGCCAGGTGGTGTGGTGGCTAAGGGAGCTGGACTCCTACATGGTCGACTATGGTTCGGGTCCCGGACCTGGCGGCTTGGTTTCTCACTCCCCCCCTTCTCTCTCTCTCTCTCTGATCAAAGGAAAATAAATAAATAATAAATAAAGTTCAGTAAAGAAAAGGAACATTGATGACATATTAATAAAAGCTATACAAAAAGAAGGAAAGAAAAATAAACAGAAAGAGACTTGGCATTAGTGCTCTGTAAGACCACATCAAGTGGCCTGTGTGTAACTGGACTTCCAGAAGGAAGGAGAGAGGTGGGGACAAAGAAAACACCTGAAGAAATAATGGTCTTTTTTTCCTCCAGATTTGTTGAAAATTACACACTCATAAGTCCAAGAAACTCAACAAGTTCCCTAGCCAAGAGATCTACACCAATCAATCAATTTATTTTAAAATAGTGATCAAAGAAAATCCTAAATACAGCCAGAAAAAAAGGACACCTTACATGCAGAATAACAATTTTTTTTTTAAAGGTCTTTTTCCCATAGGCACAAAGGAAAAGTGAGAAATCACCCCACAGGGGAGATGGCCATGCCATAATCCCCTCTCTTCCATTTTCCTCTTGATATTTTGGGCACGTACCCACACACACCAGTCTGGGACTTGAACCATGGTCAGCCATATGGGAGTCCAGTGCCTTAACCACCACATCGAATGCTGGCCCCAAGGAACTTTGTTTTTTAAAGGTTTTTGCTATAGGGCACGTGTGTTCACTGGAGAGAAAGAGAGAGCAAGAAAGTGAGAAATCATCCCCCGGGTGGTATGGCCATGCCACAATCCTTGTTCTCCATTCTTCTCTGAAGATTTCGGGCACACATGCACATACACCCTGGGTGATTTTCAAGCCAGCGGGTCCAGGACTCAAAGTGTGGTCGACCATGTTGGAGCCCAGCGCCTTAACCACCACACCACCTACTGGCCCCAGAACAAACATTTTAAATGACATCATGTTTCTTGTTGGACGTGATGCAGGCTAAAAGATAGTAGAATAATGTCTGAAATATTTTGAGAGAAATAAAAATCAGTTGACCTAGAGTAATATTACAGAGAGGAGAGAGTGAGGAGGCTGTCTGGCTCCCGCTCCCGCAGCCACCGCAGTACACTGAGCTGCACAGGGACAGTGCCGGGGCAGGTGCAAGCCGGACAGGCAGGGGCAACTCTACCTCGTGGAGGAGATAACTACACAGGGGCAAAGGGGATCCTAAGAAGCAGAGAGGCTAACTGTCACCCCACGCATTCCTTGTGCAAACTTGCCGGGAGGAGCACAAGCAGAAGCACCCAGATGCTTCTAAGAACCCAGAGTTTTCTAAGAAGTGCTCAGAGAGGGGCTGACAGGTGGAGTAGTGGTTAGTGGATCTGGATTCGCACATGGTCGACTGCGGTTTGAGTCCCGGACTCGCTTTCCCTTTCTCTCTCTCTCTAGTCAAATTAAAAATAATAGTAACAAATGGAATTCAATAAATAAATATTAAAAAAAAAAAAAAGGAAAAAACCCCACAACCTTGGGACCAGTAGGTGATGTAATAGCTATGTTGCTGGACTTCCATGTAGTTGACTGCGGTTTGAGTACTGGGCCCGGTAGCTTAAACTCACAGCAGGCGCGTGTGCGTGCGTGCCCAAGATCCCAAGAGGAGAATGGAGGAGAAGGGATTGCGGCGTGGTCATCCCCCCGGGGGGGGAGTTTTCTCTCTTTCTGTCTCTCTGTCTCTCTCTGTCTCTCTGGCAAGCGCACGTGCCCTATAGCAAAAACCTCTCAAAAATAAAAAATAAGGAAGTGCCCAGAGAGGTGGAAGACCATGTCTGCTAAAGAGAAAGGAAAGTTTTAAGAAATGACAAAGGCAGACAAGACCCATTAAAAATGAGAAGTAGGGACCAGCAGTTGACATAATGGCTATGTCGCTAGACTCCCATGTAGTCGACTGCAGTTCGAATCCCAGATCCAGCGGCTTAAACTCACACCGGGCCCATGTGCGTGCGTGCCCAAGATCCTGAGAGGAGAATGGAGGAGAAAGGATTGCAGCGTGGCCATCCCCCCTGGGGGGATGATTTCTCACTTTCTGTCTCTCTGGGGCACTCACACGCCCTATAGCAAAAAAAAAAAAAAAGAAAAAAGAAAAGAAAGAAAAAAAAAAGAAAGTGAAAATCTACATATCCCTCCTAAAGGGGAAACAAAAGAGAAGTTCAAGGATCCCAATGCACCCAAGAGGCCTCCTTCGGCCTTTTTCTTGTTCTGTTCTGAATATCGCCCCAAAATCAAAGAACATCCTGGCCTCTCCATTGGTGACATCGCAAAAAAGCTGGGAGAACTGTGGACTAGCACCGCTGCAGATGGTACACAGCCTCGGAAAAAGGCTGCCAAGCTGGAGGAAAAACACGGAAAGGCTATTGCTGCATACCGAGCTGAAGGAAAGCCTGATGCAGCGAAAAAGGCAGTTGTCAAGGCTGAAAAGAGCAAGAAAAAGGAGGAGGAGGAAGACGAGGAAGATGAAGAAGATGAGGAAGAAGAGGAAGATGAAGAAAATGATGATGAACAAGTTGGTTCTAGTGCAGTTTTTTTCCTTGTCTATAAAGCATTTAACTGCCCTGTACACAAGTAACTCCTTTTAAGATTTGTTTTTAAACTGTACAGTGTCTTTTTTTTTATAGCTCACACACTACCGAATGTGTCTTTAGCTAGCCCTGTCCTGGTGGTATTTTCAATAGCCACTAACCTTGCCTGGTAAAGTATGGGGGTTGTCAATTGGCATGGAAATTTAAAGCAGGTTCTTGTTGGTGCTCAGCACAGATTAGTTACATATGCAGACGGTAGTGTTTTGATCTTCAGTTGTCTCTGATGCAGCTTATATGAAATAATTGTTGTTCTGTTAACTAAATACCATTCTGTAGCTGCACACACAAAAAACGTTGCAGCTATTTTGTTGACATTCTGAATGCTTCTAAGTAAATACAATTTTTTTATTAAAAAAAATTGACAACTTTTTTTTAAGAGAGAGTTTTGCTATAGGGCTCATGCGCTCACCAGAGAGAGACAGAGACAGAGACAGAGACAGAAGGCAAGAAATCACCCCTGGGAGGGAGGGGGTGGCCACACTGCAATCCCTTCTCCTGCATTCTCCTCTCAGGATCTTGGGCACGCACACACACGCGCCCGGCGTGAGTTTTAAGCCACCTGGTCCGGGACATGAACTGTGGTCAACTACGTGGGAGTCCAGTGACACAGCCATTACGCTAACTGCTGGTCCCCTGGCATGAGTTTTAAACTGTCAGGTCTGGGACTGGAACCGTGGTTGACTACACAGGAGTCTAGCAACTTAACCATTATGCCATCTGCTGGTCCTGACAACATTTTTTTAATGTATGTATTTATTTCTTCCCTGAGACAGACAAGGTTTTTATACCACAATCCACCTTGGTAAGTTTTGTTGCAGCACAACCTCACCCCAATCTACAAATTTTTTATTTTTTAAAAAAAATTTTAGGAGACCTAACAGATAGTGTAATGGTTATATCACTTGACTCCCACGTGGTAGACTACACTTGGAATTCCGGATGACCTGGTGACTTGAAACTCACATCGAGTGCATGTGCATGCACGCCCGAAATCCCAAGGAGAGAATGGAGGAGAAGGGATTACAGCATGGCCATCCCCCCTGGGGGTGATTTCTCACTTTCTGTCTCTGTTTTTCTCTGTCTGGAGAGTGCACATGCACCCTATAGCAA